CAGAAGATTGCTTGGAAACTCTCTCCATATCAACATAGCAGCTTTGACATGCAGGTAAGGTGCAAATGGATGTGCTTGCAGTGGCACTGCTGATGGGTTGTTAACTGGTTTGCCCCAGTTGCAAATATTTCATAGTTTCTAAATAAAGATAAATACATTCACCAAAAATGTTTATACAATATTGTGGCCACTTCTCATCATTAGTGAGACTAACATTAGGTCCACTACTTCGATATTCAAAAAGAATGTAGACTTTGGATACCAAGAGTTGCCCATTCAGAGCAAAGAATATCAGTTTTTTGTAAAATTTAACAATAAGCAATACATCATATTGTGGTACAGTATGACGTGTATGCAGCAGTACTTGTAACACAATGTCCAGAGGTGGATCGGCTTAACTTTGACCCCCCCCCCTTTCGAACATCTGTGGATTCGCCTCTGATGTCACCTAGCAATGTTAGGGAGCTTTTGATTGTATGACAGTGGTAGGACCTATAACATAGTGATGCCACTATGAAGTCACTTTGAGTTCCTGTTGTCTGAATTCTAGGACATCGTGCAGAGAACGTGGGATGGGTGAATCCATTCCAGAGTTATGTGCAAATCGAAAGCACTCTACGAACTGGGCTAACTGCTGTTGGTTTCCAACATTTTTGCATTCGTGGACCATTTGAGACATGTTAATAGTCTGCATGGATCCCCAAGTCTAAGTTGTTGATTTTCCACATATAGGATGATAAGGTTATAGATAGCATATGATTTGCCAAAAACATACATCAAAGCTGTTTCATTATTTGTAAGGCTGCTAATGATTAGCAGTAAGATGTTTATCACACTGCTTTAAGACAAAAAGAAATAATGTATCAGGATAGTAGCAAGAACAAAATGACAAGGTAAAGCAGAAATGCAAAATTGCGAAATATAAAAAATGATAAATATATTTATTGTATATTTTTTTTAATAAACAAATGATGAATATATTTATTGTATATTTTTTTTAATAATCAAATGATGAATATATATTTATTGTATATTTTTTTAAATAAACAATAACAAGTTTATTTATTCACCATTAAACATTTTAAATATACACGAATAAAATACTTACACTTTTTATACCTGAAATTCTTTGACAGGCTCTGAGAGGATCAACAGGTCCCTACTCAAGGGAATTCACCATTCACTGTACGGCGCCCTCAAACTGGATGAGAATGAAATGGGGGCGCCACAACACCCACCACTGATGAGTTTGTAGTTAAGAATTTTTTTAAGTGCAATAAAAAATGTTTGATTATTGTTACAGCAAATGTGTACAACTTCCTTCGTGACTTTGGATACCCAGAAATATTGGTTGCATTTTGTTTTATGTTTGCAAGAGGATGACTAATGCTTTTAACACTAACAGTTAAGGCAAGACTTTTTTATACCTTGTTTAGCGAACCTGCCGACTGCGAATATTGATGATTTCGAATAAAAATAAAATTTTATTTTTGGCCAATTAGCGAACCAGCCGCCACGAAAAAGTGGAAATTTCAGGGGGAAAAAATTTTTTTCTTTATTTGTGGCAAAGACAAGCCAAACCAGTCACTCGTTGCAAATCGTGTTTCAGAGAAAATGGCCAAAACATGCTGGAATGTCAAATTTTTAAAAATCTATTTTATTGCATTAAACTAACCTTTATATAGCTACACTTCATTCTATGCTGTTATTTTCCCCATTTTCAATGTTAAAACAATACTTTTTAAGGATT